AGACTAGAAGGAATGCCAGAGACTAAGTCTCCCCATAGAGTTCTCCAGGGAGCGCAGTCTACCACTGAGTCTGGCATCCCTGGGGCTGACAGCGAGGACCAAAGATCTTACTTGTAGAACTCTAGATCTCTACTCTAGAACTATCCAGCTGAGAGGGAACTTAGAGCTTGCTTCTCTAGTAATTTTATAGATGAAGCAAAAATACAGAGATGACTCGACTTATCAAAAGAAAAGGCACAGGAAGGACTTAAGTTTCCTGATTGCTAGTTGCCTCAATCTCCCACAAATCTATGCTGGGGGATTTCAGTCCCATATCTGGTGGAGACAATGTTATGTTCCTACATGGATGGTATCCCACAAACAGGTATTGACACAAGGATTCTTAGGACAGGAGGAGTTCTGCAGAATTCAAAGGGATCATCCTCTTGGTAAAAATCAGCTCTATATAGCTTCATGTTTCTAATGCTGATTTGACCTGGATTCTCAGAGAGTCTGCACTGGCCAAAAAGCTTAGAAAACTTTTGTAGAAAGGAAGACCTGGGGCCCCTGGATGGGGTCAGTTGAGCATCTGACTCTTGATCATCAGGTCATGATCTCCGGGTCATGGGATCGAGCCCCATGTTGGGCTCCTTGCTCGGTGGGGAGTCTGCTTGGGATTCTCTCTCCCTCCTTCTCTACCTCTCCCCTCATGCTCTCTCCCTTTCTCTCAAATAAAAATAAATAAATAAATAAATAAATAAATAAATAAATAAATAAAATATTTTAAAAATATGTAAATAGAAAGACTTAAGAAACTTTTTGAACTGGAAACACAGTATATTTGTGGTCTAGTAAAGCATTTAAAATAAAAATCAGGGATGCCTGGGTGGCTCTGCGGTTGGGCGCCTGCCTTCTGTTCAGGTCGTGATTCCCTGATCCCGGATTGAGTTCCACATCGGGCTCCCTATGAGGAAACTGCTTTTCCCTCTGCCTGTGTCTCTGCCTCTCTCTCTCATTCTGTGTCTCTCATGAATAAATAAATAAATCTTTAAGAAAAATAAAAATCATTTGCAGATACTTTGCCGTTACATAAATGCGGCTATTGGTTACTAAATAAACACCCTTTCTAAATTCAGTGGTGACTTGTCTTCTCCTAGATTTATTCATCTGTCAACAAGTTCTGAGCAACTAATACAGGCATTTAGGAAATATTTAGGAAATATACAAGAGTGGAAGACACGAAGACCAATGAAGTCTGTTCACATATCTATAATGCAAGGGAAGCGTATGTGTGATAAAGCAGAGAGAAGCAGGGAAGAAGCGCCTAGGAGGACAACCTGGGGAAGCAAGGAGGAGCTGGCTGTATGATTTTGAGATGAGGGAAGCATGGGGAAGGTGGCACGGGAACGAAGGACAGATGGCAGCCACGCGCAAATGTAAGGGGGGACGTGCACTACCAGGTAAGGATGAACTGACTGTGCTGCCCAGCATCCAGATTTTACCTGGGTGTCAGGAGGGTGAGGTGGAAGGGCAGGTGGATCGGGACCAGAGTGTGGGAGACGCCTGAGTGTCAGACTCAGGGTTTGAGCTTACTTAGGTGGGCAACAGACAGGTGCTGCTGATTTCTGGGAAAGGCACGGCCAAATTCAGAGAGTGTGTGCAGGAGAAAGGAGATGCTGAAGTCAGTAACAGTGATGAGGAAATGAGCACAATGGCCAAGCCGATGGACTATTCTAGAGCCAGGACAGTGGCAGTGAGAAAGGACTGAGGAGAACGAATGCGATAGCTGAGTGATGGAAGTCCGTCTGATTGACAGGGAAGTGAAATAATCTCCCTCCATTACTCAGAGCTACTCTAACCTGGTAAGTACTGCCCGTTGTCACCTGAGAGCACAAAGGACTTAGGGATGTATAATTTAATGCTCGCTGCAGCTCAGGAAGGGGGTGTTTAAGACTTGCACAACTCTACATCCTTGTCGAAAGCCTATCTTTCCATCAGAAGGGAAAAAAGTGACAACCGTGTCCTAACCAATCCTCACTAGCAACTACCTACTGTGAAAACCGCTCACACAAGAGAAAAAAAGGTCAAATTAGAAAGTTATCGCTTATAACATTTCACACTGCATTCATGTGGAAACATTTCTGCTTTGCCAAGCCCTTTCCTACTTATTTTCTCATTTTCCCTAAAGCAGCGCAGGAGGTATTAAGGGTGGGAATTACTGGTCCCGTTTTATGGAAGAGAGGTACAAGGCCTGCCTACGGACACACAAGAGTGACCAGGACCAGTCTCCCAGCTCTTCCCGACCGTCCACACCATCACCACATGGGCTCAGTGAAAGAGGCAAGTGGTCTGAACTTTAGGGGATTTAAAATAGACACTCGTTGGATAAGACATGGGTGCTAAGAAACCCAGCCAGGGGAGCAGATATAGGCTGCCCAGAAAATGTCCTCCACCAAATGAAACACAATCCAGAGTCCAGCTGGGAATTCCATTGCTGCCTTGGGTTTAGGAATTGTTTATTTTTATTTCTTGGCTCGAGCCTTTCATTCCTGCCCTTGTCTCTTCTTGTCTCCCTCCTTCCCTCTCTCCTTCCTCTCCTGGCAGCCAGAGCCCAACTCCGCACATTCACACGCGTCTGCGTCGAACACCGCTGTCTAAAAACACGGCTTGCCCTAACAAGCTTCGTCTCCTGCAGGTGGCACATTTTAAAAATTTAAAATGGGTACCCCAAGGAATGTATCCTATCACGATCAACCTTTGAATCATTTACCCTGCTTATTAAAGATTCAGAAATAAAATAAACACAGTTTACAGGGAAAAAAAATTAATGCACCACGAGCGACTCTTTCGAGTGGCATTTTCAAGCCCAGTTTCTGTGGTAAGCTTATGTAATCAGACATAATTGTCTGCACATTGCACATGTTTGGTTACACTCTTTCAGAAATGATTCCCAGCCCACCAGAGAGCGTCACAGGGGTCAGTGTCGACCCCCCAGAGTCTGAGTGCCACCCTCTCCTGCACTACCCGGTTAGGAAGAAGGATGTCACACAGCAGAACCGTGAGCCCATTTCCTACCCACTCACACAGACTTTCTGCAGCTCATATGTTCATCCCCATGCTCTGGTACTTTCCTCCTTTTCTTCTCTTCCACTTATACAGAGCAAAGCTTTTTCTGGAAAAAAGTCTTTGGAGATAGAAGACATCTCAAATAGGCTCAGAGAACGCGTAAACGTGTATGTGCTTGAACCCCATCCCCCAACACACACACACAGCTGAGCACAGACCAACTTCATGTCTGGAGTCTGTTTTGGGGAGGATAACTTCTCTGCCACAGTACCTTGTGTTTTTCTAAGCAGGCTTTCAGCGCATCAGCCATTAACATGGTAACAATAATTAGGATAACCACAAGGAGAGAAGACTGCCTCTGCTCTGGAAATCCTTGCTGGAAAAGTGACATGACTGCCCAGGGTTACATTCAACGGGGTTGGCTTTGACCTCCTCCATCTCCTGCCAGAAAGGGGCTTAAGGAATATCATACAAATCCAGAGGAGAGTCTGCCTAAAGAAGGCAGAAAATAAAGGTTTCCTAGTTGGCAGGGGCCTTAAAAAGTCACCAAGACACTGACGACCTGGTACTTGACTCTCTTCTCCGACCCCCGACATCCTGACTGAGTAGCCAGCTGCACCCTATTTGAACGCTCTGATGGTGGGGAGTTCTTGACTTCCGGAGGCAGCCAGTCCCTTCTCCGGACAAGTCTGACCAGGAGAAAGGCCCACTCAAGCTCGAAGTGAGGCGTGTTTCTCTGAATCTTCTACTCAGTACCGCTACCCTTGCCCTGTTTAGATCACTCGTGATGAAGCCAATCTCTTTCACAAATACCCCTCTTTCAAAACTACTCTAGACCACTCACATTTTCTCTTTCGTGGGCTAAGAACTGCTCATTCTTTCAGTCACTCCTTGTGATGAACCAACCAACTGGGTCGGTATTGGGTTGATTCCTTCAGTCTCGCCTTAGCCATGTCTGATTTGACCAATGCAGGGTCCAGGGGACCGGCACCTCCCGCACTGCAGACACGGCACCTCAGTTAGTAAAGACTCGGATGACGCTAGCGCATCGTGCCTACCTTTCCTTCCGTCCATCCCCAATTCATTTGAATCATCACAACAGAAACAAACGACAACAAAAATCATCACCATCAATCAGCCATAGTTTTCTTTTCGAGTTCTTAGCCCGTGGTTCTACGGGAGCCCCCCGCAACCTCTAAAAGCCCAGGAAATGACCCCTGATCTACACAACAGCCTCCTTTTCCAGGCTGCCTCTCGTCCTAGCATGCTGTCACCGCTGCTGAGATAGCGGACGATTGATCTGAGAAATCAAGTTGGATTGCTGTCCCAAATCCACATTCGGTTCTCCTTGTGTCTGTCTGATTGATTTCACTCTGTGCGACACAGCTTGTCGCTATGAATTTTCATGCTAGTCAGAAGCCACCAGCGCGCCCAAGAACCAGGGGAAGATGGTCCCGCGCCCCTCCCCACCCCTCCCCACATCCCCAGCCTCTGTGTTTCATTTCCTTCTTGTTTTCGTCCTTAGACAGACTGGACAAAGGTTCTTTTGCAGACCACAGACCTGCATGCGAGGGGTTTTGGCTACCGGTTTTCCCGCCCGGGTCCCCGGGGCCCCAGCTCGTGGTGACATTTCCTACCACTGTTGTGCTAGGTGTCACCTGTTTAGCGGCTCCTCTCAGCTGAAGGCGAGTGGCCGCAGGTGCCATGCGGACACTGATTGCGTGTGACAGCCCTAGACGCCAGCTGCCTGCATGAAGCCTGCCCGGTCGCCACTTTTCGTGTGGGGAGGACGCTGCCGATGGCGTGGCCGATGGCGTGGCCGATACAGAGACGAGAAACTAGGGGACCGTAAAGCTAAGATAGGTCCTACTAAGTGGCATTCCGAGCCCTATGGCTTTGAAATAATTGGTTAGGATAGAATAAACACAAAGGGTGGGGGAGCCTTGTTTTCTTACACTGATGCCCTGCGGACTGTACATCTGACTGGCTGCGAGTCCGTCACTGTATCCTCCTGTCTGGCTGATAACATGGCGAAGGGTATCCACCTAAACAGATGAACAACAGAGAGGAAATTAGTCAGGGGGATGCAGGAAAAGGGAGGCAGAGCATCACAACGCGGCCTACAGTGCGGGCGGGCCAAACGTCCACAGTCCTCGCGGAGGCATCCTTCCTGGGAGGGCTCCGCTCGGAGGAGGCCGGCCTCTCTCTACCTGCCAAATCCGTTTTCCTTTCTGAGTTCAGTCAGCAAGACGGTAAAATGGTCAAAGAAACCTGGGATTCCCACCACTGAATCTAACTCCCAGTGCTGCAGGAGACGGCGGGGCGGGGTGGCAGGGGCGGTGAGAGAGGGCAGGGAGAAGGAGGTGCCCCTGGCGTACAGGTCCCCCGACATAGCTTCTCCTTCGCTGCTACCCTGCTCTGCCCAGAGGGGGCTCGGCAGCCACCTCCCCGAGAGCGGTGTGGACTAACACCGTCCTCTCCGGGTCTGTGGTGAGGGCCAGCTGTACGGCCGCTCCGCTGGCCTGACCACGGCTCCCCACACTCGTCCCTAGGCAGTGGTTCTGGAATCACTGGCCAGCTGGTCGCCTCCTGTGCCACATGCAGGGTGGGAGAGCGGGCTACCGTGGCTGAGAGGCTCCCCTAGCCATCCTGCCCCCAGCAGTCCACTCCCCCCTCTCACGGCAGGCTCTGTGCCGAGGCAGGAGGACGGCCTCACGAGGTGCAGTGAAGGCAGGCCGTTCGCTTAATGGACACCGAGGGTTTACGCCACACGACCTGGTGTTCGCTTCCCAACGTGGGCTCTGACTCACGACCAGAAACCCAAGTCCCCTGACCTCAAGGATGATTGAGAAGATGAGCTTGGTCAACCCGGCTGGGTGGGTGTTTTTAAAGCTTGAAACAAAAACAGGAGACACGAAGGCATTTGCCTAGTCACCAGTCACCTCCTTATTTGGCAAATATTGAGTGAGGGAGACCCACAAACAAGAGGGAGGCCTGCAACGTGAGACAACGGACTGAACTCCTCCTCCCTTTCCCTTTGGCCAAGAAAGAATATGTTGGTTCCACGTGCCTGATGGGCCTTGGTCCCCTCACCCCGTGCTTGCTCTCCTGCCTTCCCAGTGTGGCTGACAAGCCAGAGCCAAATGCATTCACAAAGTGTGGACGAGATTCCCCACGACCATGGTTGTCTTTGTTTTGTTTTGGTTTGGTTGTTGGCAAGATTTTGTTTCTACATTTCTCTCTTTCTCTCTCTCTCTCTTCATTTCTCTCTCCCTCTCTCTGTCTCTCTGTCTCTCACCCTCTCTCACCCTCTCCCTCGCTCTCTCTTCCTCTCTCTCTGGACAGAACTGGCAAGTGCCAAGACTACCGAGGGCTCTTGGGCTCCAATGCATTCACCTGGTGGCACATTGGCTGGGTCCCTACCTGTGACTGCACGTTGGCTCCAACCTGGGCCCCTTGGTAAGAGTCCCCATTGAGTGACTGCACGCCCATGAACAAATCTCCAGAGTTTGACATGTTAAAAGAACTGGAAGAACCTGGAAAGGAAAGAGTGAGGCACCTGAATCACAGAAAGGAAAAGGCTCAACCCCTGCAACTAACAGCCAAGAGGAAGAAATGACATGCAAAGCAACCCCCCAAATAAATACCAAAATAAAAATAACATCAACAGAGTCTGGTTAGTAGCATGAAGAACAGAGCAAGCAATAAAGGGTGCATATCGTTCATGTTATGTGAAGCCACATGTCACTGCAAGTTGCCAATAGGACTGTGTCCCCTTAACAACTTCAAGCTGAAAAAGGGAGTATTTCTTCTCATTTGTTCTTCTCAACTTAGTCTATTTGAATTGGAAATGGTCTCCAGGACCTCTCTTTCATGCCCATAAAATTCTAGGGGTTGCCAGGGGACCACAAGCTGAAGAATCTGGGCTAGCCAATGGTACTTCTGCCACCATGATGGAGCACATGAGCTGTCCGGCTAGTTTCCAAATATGCCCCCACCAACCCATCTGCCCTCACATGGTAAGCAGCCCTGGTGGGGGGGTGGGGAGTGCATGAAGGCAATGGCCCACAGTAGGGCTGGGCCTGGGATGGGAGTCCATAGGACATTCCCTATTTCTAGAAAGAAGGTCAAGTTCCTTGCTGGGTGGCAAGCAGCCTGAGAGAGCCTCGAGGACCGCCAGGAGATGTGAGAATGGTCACTTCTTCCCTTGCCACCTGCTATCATGGAGGAACATGAAACAGAATAATGGGCCAGGAGTTCTGAAGCATGCATGAAATATGAAGTCCTAATAATAACGCTCAGGACAATCATAAAAATGGGCCTCAGGAAGAGCAGTCAACCCTCGGCTTTCATCTCCCAGAAAATAAGTCCTCTCCCAGATAGCCTCCAGGCAGCACCCGGGTGGCACTGTGGTACACTCAGCCCACCCTCGGCCTAAACACAAGGGCGTGGTGAAGCTTTCTATTATTCTGAAGTCATCGTGCAGCTCAGCGCATTAGGAAAGAAAGCTCAACGTGCAAGGTTTGGTTAAAACATGACGTTAGCCTAGAAAAGGAGAGACCTCAGGGACCCAGGTCAGTTCCACTCTATTCCCAACTGTCTTGCTCAAATTGCACTCTTGTCCTAACATTCTGGCAGCCATCATCCGTGTGGGATGGCCCAGCAATGATGCCCCAGCTCTGGTACTTTCTGAATCTCCCAAGACGGGGACCTGTGCTCTCCTAGAAGGCTGTCTCCCGGAGCTCAAGAGAAGGCTCTTTCTGTGCCATAGAAGAGTCACTTAACTAGCAATGAATTCTGAACCCTACCATTCTGCTCCATGTTGAACTGCTCCGAGTATATCTTCACACTTCCAAGGGGAGACCCACTTAGAAGGCCCACTTAGGTCCACTTGGGGAGACCCTCAAGGTAGGAAACATTTCCATTTTTCTTTGTTTGGGGGATGTCCATCCACACCCAAGAACCAGCTAGCTCCTGTGCTACATAAACTGATCCCCCACTCTCTCTTGTTGTGGGAAGAAGGGAATACTTTCTCTGGGGGGCAGGGAAGGGCGACCTGAGCACCATTCAGGGAACTACGATGTCCCCATAGCTCTGCAACATGTCCCATCTCATTGGGCTCACCTTTCTCTGTTTAGCTTATTCTGCAAGGATGTAGACGACTGGGGTCTTGAGCAAAAGAGGCCCAAGGTCTGACCAGGCAGGGCAGCTTGCCCTGGAAATTTCTTCCAGTAATGTGGTGCCAATCTCCCCAGCGTGCTGGGGAAGCAGCGCATGGCACAGATCACGGATTCCCAGGTTGAGAGACATAATTCCCAGGCCTGCATGTCCTACCTACATCCCTCTCAAGCCTTTCTTTTAATCAGAGGTAACCTCCATAATAAGAGCCATTTTATCATCGTTGTGGCAACACACGCTCACATTTAGATGGCATCAGAACCAAGGATGGTCAGCTCTGAGGCCCCAAATTGTGACTGTTTACGTAATATCAGAATTCCGCCACCCCCCCCGGAGAGTGTTCAGTTTGATGCCCAGATACTTTCTTTCTCACCCAATCAAATGCCATGCAATAAACCCACACTCCTTATGCCTCGCTGATGGTTTACTAGAAATCAGCACACAGACTGAGGAATTGGGAGAGACCCCCAGAAGGGCTGCGCTGGTGCCAAGGAACATGGCATCCATGGACCCATGAGGGTATGGAATGTGCCATTTACAAGATACACACTGCAATTGACACAGATGATTTAAGAAATATATGTGCATAGATAAATTGTAAATATGTCTGGCTGCCTAATGTACAGAGAGATAAATATGCGCATATCAATGGCCTTCATGTACAAATGCATTTGAATCAGAGCAGTAATTGCAGGAATAGTCCGGGTGCTCTTGCCTCTGCGGTTCTGGCATTTTGTTGTCCCTGTATAGCCATGTACTACACTACCATGGCCTCTGACTCTCTGATAAGTGTCTCGAGGCAGGGATGGCTCTGAGAGAAGAGGCCACATGCCACCAACGCAAGAAAGCAGACAGAACCCCACACAAAACTCGAAATAAGGAGGAGAAGACATGTCCTTCATCTGGCACTGGATGTCAGAAAAAAAAAAAAAACACAGAACGGACCACTCCCAGAGAAGGACATACTTCCCCGCCCAAGAGTGAGTGGGCCACCCGGGAGGTGCTGCGGATGCTCAAGGAACTAATACAGAAGCACCTGCATTGCTGAGAAGGTTCATCAAGAACCTCACCTGCAGGCGCCTGTAAAGTAATCAGCAATTACCAGAAGCACACTCTAAGATGTGCTCGCCCCTTAAAAGGTTCTGAGCTTGAGTGGGAAGGGAGGCAAGTGGCTCGTTTAAGCTGTCATCCAGACATCGGGGGCAGGTACAGAGCTACATCCGCACTCCACTGGACAGACAAGAACTAATGGATCACCTATGGATTCTAATGCAATGGCTCAGGCAAATATAAAGATGTGGAGATGTGTTAACATCCATTTTCCTAAGATCATTTCCTAAAGACTGCATTTCTACTTTAAAGAGTCTCTAGGAGACTTAAATGTGCTCAAGAAAAAAATCAAATAATCATAATTTTAAAAATTCTTACGAATTATGATTCATGACTGATGTTATTATGATTTTTAATCATAATTTTTTTAAAAACCTAGAGTACTAATGATAAAATCTAAACTTAGAACAAGCTTTCTACATTGGCATAACTGATGCTCTGGGCTAAAAATCTGCTTGTTGTGGAGGAATGTTTTCTGTACTGTAGGATGGTCAGCTACCTCCCTGGCCTCCATGCACCGATGCCAGTGGCACCTGCCTCCTGAAACTCTGACAACCACACGTCTGCAAACAGCCCCGATGTCCCCTGAGGTACAAGTTCACACTGTGGAGAACTAGTGATGGACAATAAGAGGGGATTTACTTTTTCTTACTGAGGAACTCGAAGTGTTTAAAAGCATTGACTCGTTATTCCTCATAGCACTTTTAATGAAGCAGATATATGACAAGTGTGGCCCCAATTTTGCAGTTTTGAAATCAAGGCTCCAGAGACATTAGGTGGCAGTAGGTCAAATTGGACGCTCAACACCATTTGGAGGCTAAAAGATGGAGCCTCTTTGCTAGATGTGACTTCATTGTGTCTCAGGCTGGTTTCTCTATTTTCTATGGTTATCCCCCTTCCAAACTCCAAAAATAATTGTTACTTTCTACTCAGGACAAAGCACAAGAGACAAAGGCCATCTGGTTCAACGGGAAAGCCCTTTGAGAAGGTGCACATGGCAAAGTTCTAGAGTTCCAATTCCGGCAGGCTGTGTTTTCATTTTCTACTTAGAAATTAAGGGAAGAAAGAACACAGCAGAAAACATCAAAGGGATAAATTCTTTCACTTGGTTTAAAAAGAAAAAAATCCTAAGAGTTCCCATGGATTTACTGTCAGCCAACCTCCCCGGATGTGTTACCTCCTCTCTAACTGTGGGTATTATATACACAAACTTCTCCTAGGAAGCCAGAGTCTAGGAGTTTTAATATGATCGTCTTCCCCCAATCCAGAAAAAACACCAAACCTTCTATTAGGGGGTGTAACAAATACGTACAAGGGCTTGCCACTAACTAAATAGTGCCAGAGAAAGGACTTCCATGGCTGAGCCTGCCGGTGTCCTTGACACACACACTGAGCCAGGAAAAGAATTCAAATTGGGGGAGGAAGTCCTTAGGCTCAATAAGCCTGGGATTACTTAGCTAATCACAGAATCTAATAAAATATCAATGCTGACGCCATGCCATGGCAAACATTTGTAATGCATGAGCCAGTTTCTTTCTTCTTGGATGCTAAATGTCCTCCAGAAGATAAGGTGACCTTCCAGAAGGGGCTCCATTTTTCTGAGATCTCATTCTTGCCTTTATAATCTCATCAAAAATAGAAATGAGAATGTGTCCTTCTAGGTGAGTGCAGACTTATGGATCCAAGGTTATAACTATTGCTTCGAATGGTCCCCATTCTTGCTTTTTGTTTTCTTGGAAACTTAATTTTCTTGCCTTCCTTCTATTCTCCCTGTTTGTTCTCTCCATTCTGCACAACACTGCTGGTGTCAAATATGAAGCATGTCAAGTATCTCTACATGCTTGCTCTTCCCCCCACGGGTCCTCGCCCAAAGTGATTTCAATGAATTATGCTTAAGGACACAGGAGATCAGCCATGTATCACTGAACAGGAATATTCAGAAGTGACCTAAATAAAGACACTGAGGTATTGCTGGTCCACACAAAAACTTCTAGAGGGAAGAGGATTTACTTGCAAAGTATCCTCTTTGCAGTAGAAATGAGTATGTATATTCAGTAAAGCTTCTGGGGGTGGGGAACCACAACAACAACCCTGTTCCAATATTAAGGATATAAAAGCTCCCAGGTTCCAGAACTCTAGACTTCAAACTCAGCCCACATATATTTCACTTATTAACCTTTTATTTAAAACTTGTACCTATTTCAATGATCACCTCCCTTCGGAATTATCAAGGAGCTAGTATGCAACTTCATAGGCACCCTATGTGAAAAGTCTGACCACTTTCAAGTTCTTGGTTTATCTGTGCAATGATCTGGGTTCTGTTAAGGGCGAAGGAAAATACACAAAAGCCCATGTCTAACTTTTCCTGTTAAAACGTTGATGAATAAAAACCCCGTGCTATTGCACATATACAATAGTATTTTCTTTTGTCTCTACTGTAAGAAAAAAAAAACAAAAAAGCACTACAAAGGGGTTCCTCTGCATATTATTTCCAACCACCCAGGCACAACTGGAAGGCTTAGCTCAAATTTTCCATAATAATTTACTCTGTGCTTAGAATAGTCACATAAGTTTAAGCTACCAGAAAAATTCTTTAGAAAACTGTAATCACTGACTGACATTCCAAGAGAGCCAACATAATTCTTAAACACAGAGCGGGGGTTTAAAATGCTTACTTTTCTCTTTTTAAGCGCTTTAGAAAAGAATAAAAAGTTAGGGCTTTAGTAATGAAGGGAGTCCACAGGGCCCTTCTAGGGACTAGTCATAAATCATGCCCAACCATCTGCAATGCAGATATTATCAGCGACAGGAAAAAGTCATTTTGATATCTGTTTTGCATTATGATAACCTTCGCAGGAGTGGTGAGTGTGTTTTTGCTAATGTTGACAGGACTGTACTTCTTCCAGAGACAAGTGCACATGTCTGCCTAGCAGTGTGATTCAACTAGCATTGGCTGAAGTCTGAAATGCTTAATAGTTGACCAGATGGGGTAGAAGGAAACTCTTCGGTTAGTGAATCTCTTAGCCTTGATCCTCTGTCAATCATGCCATGATGGGGAGAGAAGGAAATGCACACGCACAACCCTCAAAAGGTAAATATGCTCCTTAGAGTTACCCGACCTGGTGTGCTGGGAAAAGTACAACTAGACTGCATTCTACATTGTCTTACCATGTCCATGCCTACAAAGCCCCGGCCACTCTTCATGTAAGATTCCAATTAAACAAAAGAAGGCCGTGATGGTACAGCCCAGTGATGGTCCTCCCAGTGGAGAACCTTATAACAATTTAGGGCATCTAGATGCTCACAGAAGACATTAGTGTGTGGAGCCTTACAGGTCTCCAGGAACAGCCCACCATACGGTAGAAAGAGAATTTGTTTTAGTGAAAAAACAAGCCTTGGGCTCAAACACACTTCCCAGAAATTAGATTTTTCATCACATTATGGTCAAACACATTTGAATTTGTGACCCTTCAAGTTGGAGACAATCTTCTGAGATATACAACCCACCGCCAAAATCAGTGTAGCTGGTTCATAATGGGGGGCAAATATCACATGATCTGAGACCAAAAGTATTTAAAAAGGAAGTAGCTCTGGTTTTCTCTTACAAAAAAAAACCCAAAAAAGTACCAACATGTCTTCCACAGCATAAACACTACGGTTATATTTTATGTATCATTGACTACGTTTTTTTTTTCATGTGTGGAAATTCACAACTGGTGGTATGAGGCAAACCCCAAAATATCTTACGTTAGCCCAAACTCTGAAGTTAGTGATATAATGCACGTTCACTAAAATAAAACCAGGGGCGTAGTACATGACTAATATCATAACCAGAAAACTGGAATCTGAATAATTTGAATTAATGACTGGCAATTTTCTTTGTAGTTTATGTAAAGAAACCAACAAATCAAAACAGTAAAGAATAACAACTATAAACAATGTACAGCAGTAACCCCAGTCTGGCTTTGCAGACCAGAGCATTATAATGAGGAATACTCTTGCTGAGAATGTATGCTAGTAGGTCACCCAAACAGTATGTGATGGGAACAGCAAAGTAGACAAGGATAAAAACTTTATATGAGCCAGACTAAATGCTACAGCTCCCAAGGGATTATGTCCAAGTATTAGATCTAGCTCATTGTCATCTTTGAAAGGAGAATGTGAAGGTCTTCTCATCAAAACCAACCAATTTAGGCCTGTCCAACTTGGACAGACATATTATCGCAAACCTCCAGGCAAGCCCATCTTATAAACAGTAAAACACACTGCTCCTTGGAAATGAAAGGAAAAACCCAAAGTGGCATCAACAACAAAAAGGACAATCAAATACGTAAGTTAACCAACTGGAAACCTAGAGAGTGAAAGAAAACCCCAATGTAGGAAAAGCAAGTATAAAAATGGAGCACGATCCCCCCAAATCAAAGAAAAAACTAACCAGCTGAGTTAGGAGTCGAGGGTGAGTTAGCTTGGCTTCCATGGGCTGACACATTGGTAGCAGTGACAGCCGTTTTGGCAGCATAAATATTGGCTTCCTCTTGAAATTTACCTATGTTCTTCTTGTACCGGATTCGCTTATTTCCAAACCAGTTTGATACCTAGAGCAGTTTAAGAGAAGAGGAGAAAGTTAACATTCCGTCCTACGCAAACATCTCAGGGGAAAAGGGGGCATCAAGAGAGGGTTGCAGGCAGGCTGCACCCCACGTCCCAATCCTATTCTGATTTCGAAACATCAATGAAAAGATGCGAAGGAAGAGCACCGAGAGGGGCCGCTGCCTACAAGGAGAGTCTCCTGCTTAACACAGCACCATAGAGCAAAACCACGCCGCAAAAACTTCCTACGGAGGAGCTGCTCATTTGGACTCGGACAGTTAGTTTAGGGTAAGCATTTTAAACTTGCTTACTCTTAAGAACATGACACCAAAATAAACATAGCATTTCAGGGGAAATGTTACATATCAGTGCTAACACTGAGCAACGAAGAGGCGTAGACTTTCAAACATCCATACAAATCTGTATCAACATATAGGTGTTCGCACCTAAGGATTAATTTTAAATAGTTAGAATTTATGTAATGCTAACACGGACTAGATTCTTAACTGCATGTACTATATAGACCTTAGGATCAGTATAATCCAATCCGATAGATTTCACCAAGTTATTTTGTGCAAAGCTTGGTGTTATCTACTCAAGGAAAAGCTGAGCCATACCACAGATTATTCCTTTGAATTCCAGGCTTTAAATGTTAAAGCCAATACGCAAAATAAACCTAATTTATTTTCATTTGTTAAGTTATTTCCTTCATGTGGTTCACAGCAGCTGTCCTGGCTTGCTTCTGTGTCCCCGTTCCCTTTTTACCAAGACCTCTGCTAGACACAAGAGGAGATGTAGTGAAATTCAGGTTTTACCCTTATAGTTCCTGCCTTATGAGGAACGTTTTATACCCCATATTCCAGATGTGATTTCAAACATTTTAAAATACTGTGTGTTTTTTTTTTTAATAAAATTACAAAATAACCAATGGATTTGGTGAGGGAAGAGGAAGTTGATAACACATGTACCACATAGTTTATACTTACCCAAACAGTGGTAGATAAAGGAAATTTTTCCAAGCTACGGTTACCTTGTAAATACATTAGCAAAATTTTAAAATCTTATAAGGTAAGCCCTCCTATGCCTGTGTGGCTTATGCTACGGGAGAAATGCCAAGCCTTTGTTATCAAAACCAAACCATACCATTGCAGTATTAGTAAATGAGAGGAAAAAAAATTCAGTGAGAAATTGCTTTATTTACTGTAAATGCTGCAGTGCCTACAGAGAGTTATGTTAGGAGAGGAAGGGCACTCTGGGGCCATTTTAGGACCACAGTATATCTAATATCATTCCAAAACTCATGCTTTCCTTGATGTAACTTTCACTACTGATATGAGGGAGAGGAAAAGAGGCAATGAGATTTTTCTAAGGTAACTGATGAGTTGGAAGAAAAGGGAAAAGATGAAGGTAGTTTGGGAGGGCTTTTGAGGAAGAAAAGAAACGCCTGAGGTCTAGTTAAATAAGCTACGTGAGGAGATGGAACGTGTTGTGGGAGTGACTCCCCCTCAATGAGGAGAACAGACTGGTGAACAAGGTGCTTAGTCGGTTCAGGCATTTCCTACAGTATCAGATGCCCTGAGCCATGTATGTAATCAGTGCTTTCATTAATGAACTTGCCGTTTGCAGCTGTGGAGCATTTACTATGTGCCAGACACTAGAGACACATAGAGGACAGACACAGACAGGTAATACAGAAAAAATAATCGGTTCTCTTGGGAGAGTTTAATCACATCCCAAACATCTTAAGTTCGAAGAGTCTGGGCAGAGCCATGGCAAAGTCCAGCAGGAAGGAAGATACACGAGCTCGCTGTGCCAGGAGAATCTCATCTGAATATATTCAAATAAAGGTATACTTGCAGCTATAAGCAGAGAAGAGATCTCTCCGAGAAAGTGTGTAGAACAATACTTTTCCAGACTGAGTGTGCACAGAGAGCTTGTTAAAACAGATCCCATCCACCCTCCCTTAATTCTGACTCAGGACTTGGGCTGAGACCTAAGAATTTACACTTCCAGCCAGCTCCCAGGAGTTGCTGATGCTGCCTTCTGTAGACCACACTCCAAGCAGCATGAGTACAGAGAACGGCAGTCTAGGGATCAGAGGAGAGGATGGTCTTTTTGTATCAGCACATTTTTGTTCTGGAACATGGAAGGAATCAACAGTAAGTAGATTTCGAAAGAATCTGTGGCTTAAAAAAAATTGGGTAAGAATTACGGGAGAGGCTTGAAGAGATGAGGACTAAAGAAAAAAACAAATGGTATTTCTAGGTTAAGTAGAGACAGTAGATCCTTTAAGAAGACCAAGCAAAAGTAGCCCAAGAGGAAGAAGGAAACTCCACAGAGAAGAGTATCAAGGAAGCTAAGGGTGGAGAATTTCAAGAGAGAGGGGTAATTTCTTTAAAGATTTATTTATTTGTTTTGTTATTTATTTGTTTTGAAAGAGAGAGAGAGTGCACACATGAGTTGGGGAACGGGTAAAGGGAGAGAATTTTTCATGCCGACTCCTTGCTGAGTGCAGAGCCCAATGTGGGGCTCAATCTCAGGATCCTGAGATCATGACTTGAGCCAAAACCAAGAGTCAGATGCTTAACTGACCGAGCCACCCAGGTGCCCCAAGATGGAGGGGTATTTATTAACCAAAAAAAAAAAAAAAAAAAAGACAAAAACAACAACAAAAAAGAAAGAAAGAAAGAAAGAAAGAGAAAGAAAGAAAGAAAGAAAGAAAGAAAGAAAGAAAGAAAGATACAGCCCCAAAATGGCTTTTAAAAAAAGTCTAAAATCTGCAGTCCTTAGATTTGAGAACTAAAAGGAGATTTAATAAATCATGTGGTCCAACAAACCATGATTGGCAGATGGGGCAATTAAGACCCAAAAAGAGGGAGTTCCCTAAAATCTTACAGTTGACTCTTGACAAAAACATGCTCCAAGACGAATGCTCTTGTTATAGCACCATATCATACTGTCTCCCATTGGGACTTGTTTGGCAACAGCGAGACAGCTTCATTGTTGTTGGGAGGGAGGAATGTGATGGGAAAGGAAGATGGCATGGCCTTAGGATGGGTGAAGCAAAGGGAAAAGTGATATAAATGTAAATATTCACCTCAGTGGACAAATTATGTGTACTTTGAGTTTCCATAATAATGGAGGTGAAAGTTGCTGGAATGGGCCGGGAGTCCATCTTTGATTGAGATAGAATACGGACTAGCTCCTGGGAGATGTTCCTTCTACCTTCAACAGGGCTTTAGAATTCCTAATCCCAGAATTAGATTTCAAAGAGTCTAGTGATTTAATTCTACTCTAGAAGCAGAAGATTCCGTATATCAAATTCACTGATGGTCAGTTAGGGATATGGTCCATGCCTGGAACCATTCCTCACACACGCAGAAGATATCAAGAAGCATCAATTCCCTTTTCTTGTGGACAAGGGATCTAAAGTTGGACAAGAATGGTTAGAGACCTAGACAAAACCAGGTCACGGTGAGTTTGACCACTCATGCATGCTCTGCTTTCCTAGGGTTAAGACTGGAACAATCTTCCCCTGGGTCAAAGCACCTAAGGAGGGTCTGAGTTGAAAGGAGCTGGTGTTTCAACTGCAAATTCCCCAAAGCTTGTCGGGGAGGCCCTGGCAATCTCTTCATTGTGCGTACACTGTGTGGAGTTCTATATTCTGACTGGACCTAATTCAGCTTAGTTAAACACAGGTTGACGGGATTAGCACCCAGCACGGAGTAACAGAAGCCAAGACTCAACTCAAGGAAGTACAAATGCTCGCTTTATACAAAGCAGCATCTATTCTGGTTGGAAAATGTTAAGTGAAGTTTCCCACTAGAGTAGCCTTCTTTCCCTCATTCCCCCAACTCCCTTTCTGGAAATGTCAGTAGATTTGGTTCTCCAGCAAGTGATAGAATTCAGGGGGACTTTCTCTGGTAGCTTTCAGAACTATGGTTACTGTTCTCAACTAGAGACCAGTGGTGATATTTTAAGTTTGGAAGAAATAATAGTTTTAGGTGGATCTTTTGGGTAGACAAATACACATACACATACACATTGCCTACTTTTTTTTCTTCATACTAACGTTGAAGACTTCAGGTCCATAAAAATGTGTTATCATGTGTCTTTCCATGTCAACAGGCACCTGTTAGGGTTGTTGCTTTTTGGGAAAAGGGGGCACTCAGTGACATTTTGTGCAACCATCCCATTGCAATCTTAGTGACATGTTAAAATCCACACACTTCATCAGTTACAGAGTGAGCACATCAAGAGAAGACATTTGAGTCCCTTTCATTTACAAGTTCCATTCGCTGACAACTTCCTAGGTTGGGCAAAAGATGGGCTAAGGAATGGGTCGTGTTTGAGAAAACAATAGGAAGAATGCAGAGAGCTTTCCAAGTGCCTGCAAGAACATTGACCTTCTCCTAGTCTGTTGGTCCCTCTCAAGATTGTCCAGGTACCTAACTGGAAACTCTCCAGTTGAAACATCTCATGTGTTTACCTTGCCCTGTTAGGTTAGGGCTTAAGCAAATGGAGCCTACAGGCCATTACGAAAGCCCAGTAAGGCAGTATCTCCGAGCCCCTGCCTTGTGGCTCCCTCAGAGCCACGTGACAGACAGGCTGAGACTTTTCAGGGCTCCTTACCTGGGACACTGTGATGCCACACTTCTTGGCTAACTCCTCTTTGGCTTCCTCACTGGGGTAAGGGTTGCTGAGATGGGAATAGAAATATTCATTCAGGATTTCCGTCGCTTGCTTGTTGAAATTTCGTCTCTTCCGCCTTTGTAAAGAGAAAGGAAAGAACAACAACAAAAAAGTTCACAGCGAGTACGTATAAAAAGGGAATGAGAATCTACTTCTGGGAAAAGACAAATTTTTTATTTAAAAGTGGATTCAAGGAAATGTGCATTAAGGGGCTGGATGCCAAAACCATCATTGAAGGTATTTGTTAAGCACTTGATTGTACGTCACTGGAGCGCTTGGCCAGAAGAACAGTCACAGATGCTCGCACGGAGTGGTGAGGAACAAAAGTTGCAAAACCCAATCACCTTGGTTTTGAATCTTGGACCAACTGAACGCCAGCTGGGGGAGTGAGATGCCCGCCCTCCAAGCCTCAGCTTCTTCTTCAGCTGAGAGTGAATACAGTCACGCTGGCCTTGCAGAGTGACTGCAGGTGGAAAATAGCGAGTGTGCTCTGCACAGTGCCCGGGATAGTGTAGTGGCAAGTGCTAGGTGACGGGGTTTCTTCCAAGGCTCCAGGCATTGGATCTCACCCTTGGTAGCAATCAATTCAAGTTACTCATTTTGCACAACTAGTGAGATAGGTATGGTTCTTCCCATTTACTAATGAAGAACTGAGTCCATAGGTCATTCGGCTAGCATGTCCTAGAACCAAGATATTAATTCAGGTCTTCCTGACTATAAAACCCAACCTCGCCCTTAGAAACAAATCATCTCCTGGCAATTACAGAGACTTTGCCGCCTTAAGTTAAAAATAAGTTATTATTTCCCCTGTATTCCATTCCCAGGTAAATGCACACAGCACTTTTTAAAGGCATCTGGGGAAGAGGGTGTGGAAGGCATGGAAATTAGCCCCCTGGATTGCTTGACCTCCCTTAGAAAGAGAAAAGTGGCACTTCTTAAGCAAGAACAGCTGCTAAATGGTAAAACAAAAGCCCACAGAAATCTTTTTAATACACAGGTTGCTGAAAGGAAGAGAACCACTTTTTGAATAAAAGCATTTTTCTGTCTTTAAAAAAAAGTGCTAATTGAACTAATTTAAAGTGAGAATCACTTTATTGCCGCCTCGCAGCTAAGGCCTGTAGGCAGCTGGGGGAGCTGTTTGGGGACACCAGGCTCGCAGCAGAGGCTGGCTGGCCCTCCTCAAGGTGGTGGGGACTCCATCTTTAAATTAGCTCTATTAGCACTTTGCCTTTCTTGCTTTTATCAAAAGCTTTTTCCTTATGGAAGGGATTTCCAGAATATCCTTGGTTATGCCAGGACATAGGATTTCCCGATTTAGCCCACCAGAAAGCACTGATCGCCTCGCTAGACAAGAAATTCAGCTAATATTGTATTTTCAGGGTCCCACTTGGATTAATTAACACAATAAAGTGCCTGATTTTACCGGATGAACACCATCTGTCCATAGGTATTAACCACATCTGTCCAGACTATGCCAAGCCCAAGTCACTTTCCCAAATCATGCTGAGTTTCTGGGTCACCCAGCATCAGAAATTGGGCAGAATGGATTTTTTAAAAAAGCCCATCTCAAAAAATAGGCATTTATTAAAAGTCCTTGCCTGATGGGAATTTGAGGAAGATAGCCAAGTGGCGAGCACGGGCTCCAGGCCAGGCTTTAGATAACCCTTGGCTTCTTCTCTGCCTAGAGAAAACAGTTGTCTTAGGCCTGGGGAACTGGACCCTGAGGGCTCCCCTAATTGGGAGAACCTCGGTTCATTCATTCAGCTGTCTGCATTAGCATCACACTGTATTTTTTGGGAGTCTTCCAACTGAGCTCAAAGGAAGCCTCTCTGGAATGAGCTGGTGGGGCGGGGCTGGTGCAGACAGCTGTTCCCGAATCTCTTCCCATAGTCATGTGCAACCTTCCCTAGGTGGTCTCATCTACTCTGATGGGCTCCCTTATCACCTCTCTTAGAGCCGTCTCCACAGAGGGCCTCGGAAATCCCAACATCAGGACTTCTCAGAACTTCAGGAAACCTAGTGAAAATGATGTACTTCTGACGATAAGGTTATTTGAGCTAGACATCTGGTTTTGGCTTGAAGTGTTAGCCGCTGGGTGAGTTAACATTTGTGACTTTGAGCTCAACAAAAGCCTCGGGAGTTGGGTATCTAGATTTTTATTGTAAGAGGCTGATCATCAAATAGTACTGGATGCCTAAAATGTGGCATTTTAGGAAGGAAACCTTTTGCATCAGAGTGACTCAAGAGTGGGAAGTGCAGCACCACAGACACACATTGCTAAATACCAAATGTGACTCTCCTAAGAGTCACTGTCCATCTACTACTGCACTTCTCCGGCTTCAAACACACTCTGTGTCTCCAAAACTAGCATAGGATTTCACCCAAAGCAGCTCCATTGTCTTCCTTACCACACCCCCTTGGATGCAGGTCATTGTATCTAATTTGTTCATTCATTCATTCATTCATTCATTCATTCAAATATTTGAGTACCTAGCAGGTGCCAGAACCTGGAAGCGATTCTCAACCCCTCCTGCTGTCTTACCTTCATCAGATGATGGGCCCCAAAGCAAGTCCTGCCAGTTCTATTCTTTCAAATCCAACTCTTTTATTCTAGCCTATTGCTGCTCTATTTTTGAAATGGGTTCAGATAAGCCACTATCTATCATGTGACGGTCTTGCCAGTGCTGCGCAGTGGCGCTTTCAACAGTGAGGGAAATGTTCTAGATCTGTGTTGCCCAGTACAGTGGCCATGAGCCTGCTCTTGACCACTGAGCAACTCAAATGTGGCTAGTGAAACCGAGCAGTTAATTCTGAAATCTTATTTATTTCCATGTTAATTCAGTTTGAATTAATTTAAATTTAAAATCAAATAGCCACTTACTAGATGGTGTAACTCTAGACCGACGCTTTCCAGAAATACAAGGAAGGTGTGAATTCACAGCCCTGCTGCACACCGTCAAGAGCATGAAAGGTCTTTAAAACCTCTTTAGTTTATTCTGTGATGAACCAATGTTTATCTTAAATTAAAATGATCTTGCTTTGCATATTTGAGTAAAATGGGGAAGGTACTTCATATTTATTTTGTGTTCACCCAGTTTGAAGAGCACAGGATTTAACGGGGGTTCTTACTGCATCTCTTCTCCCATTCAGCTCATCTTCAAGAGAAGCACTACAATAATTTTCCCCAACCATGGATCTGATCATGTCACTAATCATAGTAATAGTTATAGTAATAAAAATAAAATATAAATATGATAAAATAATATATAACATAGTGATAGTTAATATATTAAGTAATTCTTTTATGAATTACTGTGTGAATACCATATTCCAGACACTATACAAAGTCTTTTTTTCTTCAAATTATCTTAATTACTCCTGCGTATAGGACTAGGCCCATTTTACAGACAAGAGTCCTAGAGAGGACAGGTCACTTAGCCTGAGTTACAAAGGTTGCCAGAATTGGAATCCAAGCAGTGCAGTTTGAGAACTTATGCTACAAATTACTGTATCCTTTCCTTAAACAGCTCTAACGGTTTCTGCCGCTTTTCTCAGGACAAATTTGAAATCTTCACGGGCACAGTTAGGAGTGTTCAATGGATCTGTCCCATCCCTAGTGCCTCATTTCCCCCAGCCCTAAACATGCTCTGCATAATTTCATCTAGCCACATCATATGCTTCTCCATTCCCCAAAGACACTTGTGACTTTTATGCTCCTATGCTTCTTCACACCAACCTGTGTATTTCTCTCCCACGGCATTTGCCACAGGTTTCCATATGTCTCCCCAGCTACACAGCAAATTCCTCAAGGGTTGAAGCCACATGGCATTCCTCTTTGAAACCCCAGTGCTGACACATAGTAAGCATTCCGGGTAAGTATCGCCCATTGAAGTTGGGTTATGTTGTTTCACCGTGCCCATGGGAGTCCTTCTGCTTGGCAAACACCATGCTGACTCTGAGATCCCAAACCCTCTACCCTCTCCCACAGAGCTGGTAGATGTACTTCATGGAACACGCAATTTTATGTTCACTCGTAAGAATTGTCTGCTTGTTCCACACAGTTATGAACACCTTGAAGGTAAGACCCCCAATTGATATGTGGGTTTTTTCCTCTTATTTTTTCCAGTGGCTACTACAGCGTTTGGCAGAGAGTAAACTCAAGGAGATACATCAATCTAAATACAGGTGAGAGGGCCCAGACCTTCCTGGATGTCCCGCCCTCTCGTTGTCTTCTACTTTACTACTTCATTTTACATAATCCCTCTGTCAGGGTGAAATGCAGAGGTGTTCTTCGAGCTGTTTATCCTCTTATTGTTGTCTCCAGCAAAATGTGGTTGAACAGAAGTTAAAATTATTGCTTGAAAATCATTAAGAGTTTTGTTAAGTTCTCTCTCTCTCTCAACTGAGAAAACGGTGTTGATGGTCCTGACAATAACCTTACAAGTTTGATAGCACAAAGTTTGGTACATAGCATGAGATAATAAATGTAGAATGAATGCATGGATGGATGGATGGATGGATGGATAGACTTATTTCTGGCACAATTAAGTCAATGTAAGGAAAAGAAAAAAGAAATGACCTGAATGGACAAACCTGGACCAAGTGCTCAGCTGAGGAGTTGGGAAGGCAAAATTATAAGGTCCAGGCTCCAGCCTGGCATCCCCTCCCTCCCACCAAGTGTGGGTGGAGCTGTGACCAGGAATGGATATCCATCCTGTGTCCTTGTGTCTCAGGAGATTAGGTTAAAACCTTAAAATGGTGAGATCCCCTTGCTGGCTTCCAGGAAGAAAGCAAGCAGCCAAGATGTATGCTGGCCAGGGAGAGAGTGGCTCCTGGGAGCTGGGGACCTCAGTCCCACAACCACAAGGAACTGAATTCTGCCCACAGTGGGAATGGGTGTGAAATAGGACCCTGAGCCTCAAAATGAGATCACGGCCTCTCCTGACACCCAGATTACAGCTTTGTGAGACGAAGGGCAGAGGATCCAGTTCATCTGTTCCCAGACTTCTAGACCACAGAAAACTGTTCCATAGTATCTTTGTGTTGTTTTAAGCTGCTTTGTGGTCACTGGTTAGGTGGCACCAGAAAACTGAGATGAGGAGTATTTCACAATAAAGTCAGATCATTCGATTCCACATACCTGTGACAATACCAAGCCTAATCGTGCCACTAAGTATTTTACTTGTCTTCCACCAAATCTTTCACTGATGAAGCCCAGCCCGTCAGATGCATGTGAATATTAGCACTGACTCTGTCTTTCTCACTGAGATTTGCTTAGCAAGAGCTCCAATTATAGCACTGGAAGCAATGATAGGAACTACCCCAGTTACAAGGTCTGGGTAAATATTTCTTTCTGAGCTGAGAAAACCATTTGCTCAGCTGTGGGCTGGCCTTTGGAGTTATACTCCAAAGTTATACTCACCGACACCAGATAGACCCTCAAAATAAATGCTGCTAACGATGATAATAGCTTTGTTGTTTTAGTTTGGAACCATGGCTCAGAGGCAGTGATTCAAAGGTTGCAACCAAAGCAGGAAAGAGGCCCTCTCTTAAGTGATTGTCCTTCTGATGCCAACTGGAACCATCCAGGCGAAGACTGTTGGAAGTGACAGGAACTGCGTACAAAGCTCGCCCAGTTTTGGGTCTGACCTTCAGCTGTGCACAGCACAGTTACAGCGAGAAGAAATCCAACAAGACAATGATTCTGCTCCTCCCTCCTCCCCGGGTTCTCTCTGCATGGGAATCCAGTGTGGGCCCAACGTTCCTCTTTTTCAGTAACTGCCAACATAAATACCAACCCCAGAATTTTAACTAGGGGGGTTTCCATGGGGATGGAAGCAACACATGCAGAGTGGCGGTGGTGGCAGCATGGGTGCCGAGCCCAGACAGAGGCCACCAGTCACTTGCACTCTGGATTGTGAGTACCAGCCTGCTTTAAAGAAGCTGGGCTGGCAGCAGGCCATCAGGCGAGGGAGATGCACAGGGGACCTGCTTCAGGGCGACTCTGCCTCCTTCTGCATCACCATGCCCAGCTGGAAAAAGCTCTCTTTGTGTTAACTTTCTCTTGACTGATCCTGTGGAATTCTGGTGGCCCAGAGACACATTTTGCTAGCTGGCATTCTCATTCTGTATTCCATGTGACCCAAAACACACTGAATAAAAGGGAGTTTAGGAGATGCCAGGGAGTTTTAAAGAGGTCTGTGGACCGCAAAAACCACCATTGTGAACAGAGAGAAATACAGGTAAGCACTAAATAATGCATGACTTCGAGGGTGAAAAGATTCTACAAGGAGCAGTGACTCTGTCTCATTGAAAAGGGACAAAACCATAGATCATGAAATGGCATACTGTCCTGACACACCTGAAGTTCCAATAACCCAAATCATAGAGTGGGGTGATTTTTAGGAATTGAAGCAATGACTAGTGAAATCTGCACTTACAGAAGCTGGCTAATCTAAGATGGGCTGCAGATCGTGAAGGACACCCACACTCTGCAAACATGTCTGCAAGATCAACTATCGAAACACTCCTCCCCAGTAAATGAAAGATATGATGATTGCCATCTTGCAGCCAGCATACCAGAAGTTAAAGATACCAGAGGGATTTGCATAAATCCAGTGGTCTAGAGAATCAAGGACCAAGGGCTGATTACTGGTTCTCTGTTCTCTAGTTTTTTATCTTTGTTTAAAAGGACTTTTCAATCTAGGATTTCTTCGACTGAATTCTATGAACTCACAAGTGAGGTCACGAGTAGCAATGCCAGATGGAAGACATGAAGCCTGGATTGAAAATGTGGCCCCTGCTCCTCCTCCTCCACATCCTTGTACTCCTAATATGCAGCTCAGAGTATGCCACGTGGCCACCTACTTACAAAGATTTGTTAAGCCGAGCAAAATGCACTCTCTGGCCATACGTAACGTGGAGAAGATCCCAGCTTTTCAAACTGCACTAACGTTCTGGAGAACATGTGTCCCTGAGGCATCCAGTGAGACTGCTACAAGCCCAGGGCGACAATAGGTAGCTCTAAAAGAGGTACTGAGCCATAGGAACACAGAAGTGCGACCTTTGCTCTCACCTGCCTCACTCATTCCTGCTTCCCAAGCAGAGTGAGTAACAGTGGGAACAGAAGGCGTCCCTTCTCATCACACATTTTCCTGGAGCTGCCTAAAACCGATGGCTGATGCCGTCCTGCAGCCTCCCTCTCCTGACCCAAGAAGCAGGCTGCCATTCAGCATGGCTTTGGACATGGTGCAAATGGAGCCTGGAGAGAGGGGCCAGCTATGGGTCCCAACCCCGGATCTGGGATATCCCCAGTGGACAGGTGGCCCTGTTGGCGACTCACCGCGCATCCAGAAACCGGGAGCGCAGGATCATGACGGCCTCACATGTGCTCTGCTTGAGCTGCATCTGGATGGAGCTGAACTTGCGATGAATGATGCTGACCATCCGCTCGATCTCCTTCGGGGAGATGGGCCTGGTCCGGCTCTGCTCCCGCAGGAGGTTCATCACGTGGGTGGTAAACTCGTTGCACGCCTAGAACAGCAGGACAATCAACACCGGCACATGTGGACGGCCAGGGCCTGGACAGAAGGCTGTGTGGGCTCTTTTAGGGATGCAATGAGGAAAGAAAACTCAGCTAGACTGTGGGATAAAATAAATGACAGGCCTAAAAATACGTTTCCTCCTGTTTGACTCTACGTTTGGCCACGATTGAGATTTTTTTTTTTAAGGGTGAAGAGAAATCTTCATCTTTTTTTTTTTCACAATTTTACTACAGTGAAAGGTGAGAACATGAATCCTAGTATAAGATACACTCTACCACCCTTCACCCCAAGGTTCACAGCCCAAGAGAGCTTAGGGTCAGAGAGGGCACAAACTTCTCCCTTGCTCATTATCGCTGATGCATCAGAACTTCCAAATGTTCAATTTTGGGATGTGTAAACAGCCAAAAGAATGGAATCATGGGATTAAAAGCTAACCCTCCTGGGAGATCTCTCATAAATCTACTTCTCCTTTCAGTCTTATTACGAGAATTCCCTCCTCTGCTGGCCTTCTGAAGACCCACTACATCCACCACAGAGATTGGAACCTGTTCTCACAGGCCTTGTAGAAATGGCATCAACACATGACGTAGAGGATTCAGGAGTCATCCCTGAAGAAAGGAAAACTCTCAGGTTAGACCAGTAGACCACCAGCTCTGGGGGTGAGGTTAAATATCAGTTGTTCCACCTCCCTACTTTACATTGGGGTAAAACTGCAGCCCAGAGAGAGGAGGGGCCTTTTCCTAAGACACACAGCAGAAAAGGAGCAGCCACGCCAGGACCTGAACACTTCCTACTCCAGGCCAGGGACTTCTGTCCTTTCCCAGAGCCCAAACTTGCTCCCCTGAACACTAACCAGTGCCCTTCCTTGTGGTTACTATTACTTATCATCTCAAGTCTGGTTTCCATAGCTGAGCATTCAGATGGAAATATCTATTCACAGATTAGCAACATTACAAAACTATATTAGATTTGTAACACAAAAGGCAAGACGATCTTTGACAGTTGAAGAATTAAGGACTCAAAGGGCTTCAACTTAATACCAACACCAGAAATGCCACTCACTCATTAATGGTAACACTGTGCTGCATCTGTTTTTACAGCACAAAGCCCCTCATTTCTGTCAAGAATGCAGTAACAACAACATATTCCCTACTCAATTCTCTTAAGAAATCTTTCGAGATTGGTTGGCCAAAGATTATCTGGGCAGGCCCATCCACCAGGCTGAGTCTATACTGGGGACCAGGGGGTCTGGTCTTTGACCCCGATTCTGTAGGTGTCTGGGCAAAGCCTTTCACTACTCAGTGCCTCATTTTATTCATCTGGGGGAATGGATTTAATCATTCCTACCCCTTAGCAAGGCCAGCAACACCCATGGTCTTATACGGTGACCCTCAGATGGTGTGAATCATGCTCATGAGGTGAGAGGGGCCTGAATGGCCTGTGTTCGGATCCTGCCTTGGGCCTTGGAAAGCTGCCTAACCTCTCTGTGACTCATCTTCCTTATATGTGAGATGGGGTTGGCAGTTCCCACTTCAAAGGGTATGGTAAGGACCAGAGAAGTGACTAGGTGTGTGTCTGGCTGTGTAAAGATGTGTCCAGACCCCCGTTTGTCTCTTAGTAAAAATAAACAGGGTCCGATTCCCTTCTTTCTACTCTACCCTCCGATTACCTTCTTTCTACATGCTTAAGAGAAATCCATAGATGGGATCTATCTAGCAATCTGCTCTCCACTAAGAGAATTACCATATAAACACAAGATCTGGATGATATAAGCTTCTTCCCTGCCCACCCACCCCCCAGTTGTAAACAAAGGGAAAGGCATCGAGTTGGCTGGATTCTATGAGGCCACTGGGTGGGGAGTGCAGGGTCAGGCATGTGGCTAGCATCCCAGCCACCTGGCTGGCCTGCGGCTCCTCACCTGGTGGGGGCTCCACCGGGGGAGGGGCTTGATGTGAGGAGGCATTGTCAAGTGCACTCACTCTCCACAGGGAAGCCACGATGCTGGGCTAATAATAATGTGCTTCATTACAGGGAATAAAAATACTCACAATATCTGATGTTTATTCAAGACATTTTTATCCCGGGGCCCCTTCTGCTCTGCCATAAACAGACAGTGGGGTCTTCTCACCCACCACTGAGGTAGAGCAAGGCAGCTGCTCAACAGCTGCTCAGGAACCCACAACAGAGCAGAGGCCCGTTCCAAGTCCACTTCAGATGGACAGGACATTACGATTCGGGTTTTTTCAGGACCTACATGACCCATATGCCATCCTCCTTGGATCCTGCAAGCTTGTGCCTTTGGAAGCCAGGCCAGGCTGCCTCTGTCCTGTCAGGTGTGGCCCATAGGACAGGGATGGGAAGAGCTGGTGCTACAACTGCTAATTAAACAGGACCTGCAGAGGCTGGAAGTCTCTGGACAGGGGACCCTCTGCTGCGGACGGTCAAAAAGGGAGTCACCCTCTGGCACTGCCACTCCACGTGCCCCTACAAGGCTGAGGATTTCGAAGGGACACTTCCCAGGTTCCAGGGCAAGAGCATTTCCGGGAGCTGCAGACTAAAGACAGGCCCTCCTAGAACATCCTGCTCAAGCTTCCAGAGTTAAGCTTCCCTCCTGCACTCTGGTCAGCCCATCTTCTTCCCTTAGTCCTTCAAACTGGATGTGGTGCCCACCTCAGCAAAGAACATAACTGGGATTTTGGGTTCCTCCTGGCCATGGACCGACCAACCCAGCCCGGTTCAGCTGTACACATTTAGCCCCATCCATGCCCCAGCAGCATTATTTTCAAAAGCTGGAGAATCCTGCAAAGTGACAAGGAGCATCAGTTTTTTAAATACCCCATGGAATAAAATTCAGTGTTCTGACATCACGGTTTTGTCTATTAGAATAAGCCAGCTCTCAAATACCTTAGCTACCTCCATGATCTCCTGGAAAAGCATTTTTCTGATACCAGTAACTAAATAAAATAATTTCCTACCATTCTTTCTAATGAAAATCTCTAGAAGCTTTCTTTATTTAATAACCTCAGGGTGAAACAATGGCTGGTTCAGGTAGGTGGTTTTGTTTTGTTTTTTTTCAGGATAGGATTGAGGAGGGCCATGACACCTAATTAGCAGAAAGCTAATTGATCGTCTGGTTATTTATCACCACCATACTAAAAACAAAATAAAAATACCAGAGTCAACTATTAATAGCCAATTTGGCAACTTCATCCAAGGTACGACTAAAGTAGAGAGCAATAGTTTTACTTTACTGAGGTTTCCTGATTTCATTTTATTTTTTTATTCTTATTTTAAAAATATTTTTAATTTAATTTAATTTAATTTAATTTAATTTAATTTAATTTAATTTAATTTAAATTGAGAGAGGGAGAATGAGCGAGGCCAGAGAGAGATTTTCAAGCAGACTCCCTACTGAGCACAGAGCCAGGTGTGGAGCTCAATCTCAGGACCTGAGCCAAAATGAAGAGTTGGATGCTTACGTGACTGAGCCACCCAGGCATCCTTGAGGTTTCCGGATTTTAAAAAAGCTCCCATGAGGAATGATCACAAAAAAATGAAGACGATGCATCTCCCAGACATACTAACTAGGAGCTTAATGGCATAATTTCCCATCTACTATTTATTATAATTAACAATATAATTAGCTCTAATAAATAATTAGGCGCCCAAAGTATGTTAAGTAGGATTCGGTTCTTACCCACAAAATGTCCACATAACTAATGAAATTATTTTTTTAGTATTTTTAAGAATAAGAAGTATAGATGACCACCCTTATAATTATGTAATTTTTCTGTACTGATGAGAGTTTTTCCTTAAGTTTCTGATTTCCAACCTCTTTATATTTAAAACAGGTAGATATCTTTGAGAAGTTTTTGAAGGAGAATATTATTATTCCTAGCTTCTCTTACCTACCAGTAATTAACCTAGTCCCTGGAAGTAACAAAGGACAGGCCAGCTTCTTCACTGCCTGCACAAGCCCACACTCCATATTGAGTGCAGTCAGGTGGTGTTCCAATAAAAGCCCTTGGACTAAGGGTCAGAAACTGGATTCCAGGGCCACCTCTGTCCCTCACTGGATATGTGACCATATAAGCCCTCTGATCTCTACTTCCTCACCTGTCAAAACAAGAGAGGCCAACAGTACCTGTCCTGGGTACCCAACCACAAAATTACCTTGAGGAACAAGTGCAATTGTGTCAGCAAATGTAAGCAGTCAGTTCTTCTATGTTGTGGGCAACTTGAGCTAAGAATAAAGCCAGTTTTTAACACTTACCAGCCTAAAATCCATCCCAGTTATGGGTTTAGTTTGGTGGGGAGAGAAGATTCACTCCCTGAGCTCTTCTTGTCCCCCTGGTGTTTGGTGGGAGTTACCCTGGATGGCAGGTCTAGAGAGGTTGTTTTGCCAGAAACCAGGCTTAGTTTTGAAAGTAAAGTAGAAATAGCACTGAATGGGTGGAACTCAAGAGGTCAGCTAGGATTTGTCCCCTTCTGTCTCTTAACCTCCAAAGGTTAAGGCAGACTGTGAACTGTAACAGGATGGACCTGAAAACTTCAGGGATCGGCGAGCTCTGTGGGCTCAGCATCTCCTGAGATCTTGGGAAATATCTACACGAGCCAACACTGCGGCAAGAATATTAGCTCTTTACTAAGAAGGTGAAAGGCGATGACTCACAGGTTCTTCTTGCAAGATTGCTGCTATGCTCTTCCCCTCAAATCCTCCCTACGCCTATCCGATAGTTGAGTTTCACCACGCTTGGCTGCAAGCTTCGCAGCAATTCTTCCCCCCAACCCCTCATGAAAAAGGGACTTGGTAGAAATCCATTTCGAAGGCAGATAGGAGTGCAATAATGAAACTTTCCTCACTTTAAATTTTAAAACGCCCATTTCTATTTTAAAATTTAAATTTTCTATTACGTTTGCATTTGCTGTCGACCTAGTCGGTCAGAAGTGGACTAGAAAGGGTCTTCTGCCTTTTGCTTTTTCTCCCTCGTGATTCTGTGACTCTTAAAAAAGAAAAGGAAACCAGAAAGCTAGGAATTCCATGAAAGTAAGTTAAGTGTCGAACTTCAGGATAATGCCGTATCCAAAAATGTGACAACAAACGTACCTGTCACCTGCTGATGGAGGAAAGGTGCATATAAGGGACTCCTGTTAAAATAGTATTGCTCGTACAGACCCCAGGAAGCAGAACTGATACATAGAGTCCCATATGTGTGTGTGCGCACATATGTGCATGCGTGCGTGCGTGCGCGTGTTTGTGTGTGTGGCGCAGGGAGCGTTTCTTGGAGAGAGGAACTCTATTATAATTAGAATACGTTACATTTACATACTGCTTTGTAATTTAAAGCCTTTCCCATGTTCTCTTTATATGGTTTTCATGGTCTTGTGATATCCTTGACTCTAAATCTACAGCTCTTTGCCCTACGCTGCCAGCTTTTGGTTAGACGGTGTGGTCCACTGGGTCCCATCAGTGGAGCGTCAGGACTGGAATCCAACTTTGAAGACTAATCCCCTGAGACCCTCTACTCTTCTTTTTTGGAGGGAGGCGAGCACCACATCCTGTATTATATAAAAAATGAACATGTTTAACTCTCACTTGAGCTGAGTCTGGGTAGAGCAAAGGACTTGAAGGTCAAGTTTTAGTATCCTTTCCTGTAGGATTCCATGAGCAATTGGAAGGTGAGGAATCACCCCCAAATAAGGAGCAGAAGAGGGCCAGAGGAGCCCACTAACTGCCCCACGGGTCAGGTGGTGACTCTGCTAATGACCTCTCTCATCCCATGAGACCCAGGCTGCGGACCGTGGGCAAATGTCCTCCTGGAGCCCAGCTCAAACGTTTCTTACATTGATTATTAGTGTTTCTTGAAATCATCACTTACAACTTAAGTTTTTTAGGTGGCTTTGTGGTCAGAGTGCCTAGGTTTTTAATATTGGAGACTGAGGACTCTTGGCCTCTCGTCCAGCCAGGGACTTGGTGCAGAAATGCAGAGGCTTGGCCCTTGGGGCTCTGCAAGCCCCCGAGGCCCATGGCTCTTCACCCTCCTTTCTAAAGGGCCGGGGTGCCCAATGCCCCCCCATGGCCACGGTTACCTGCTCGTACTTCTCCAGCTCCGTGTGGTAGATCTGTCTGATTTGGGACAGCTTGGCTCTGTAGTCTGAATGCTCCACCGAGTTGTCGGAGCCCGCGCCTCCTGATGCCGCCGCTGCCGCCGCTGCTGCCGCCGAGCCTCCGCCCTTCTCAGGGCCTGCCACCCCCTCGGCCAGCAGCATGTTGTCCAGTCGCATCAGCTGGGGGTCTGTTGGTTCCTCCTCCTGGGCTCCCCGGATACTCAAGACTGCAGGGGGACACAGCAGAGGGGAGGGTTAATGGTAACCCATATGCAAGCAAATGAAGAAAACAGAAAGCAATGGCATGCCACTGGCGCAGCAAGTCACCCAAGTGCTTGCAACATGGCACGCGTAGGATGGGTGAAGGGTCGGGCAAGGGGGATGACGAAGGGGAGAGAACCCAAGGAGAGGCTTGCTTTTTGTTCCAGAAACTACTGATGCTCCACTTATGAGAGCTACACAGAACAGTCCAATTCAGGGAGGCAGAAAGTAGAAGGGTGCGGGGGCTGGGAGTCCGTGTTTCCTAGGGACGGAGTTTCACGTAGGAGAGAGGGATGGTGGTGACGGCTGCACCAAAGTGAGCGCGCTTAATGTTGCTGAACTGTACGCTGGACACTGAAAAATGGTTAAGATGATAACCTTGTTATGTATACGTTACGTAAGAAATTTCAAAAGTACAAAAAATTAATTATAGCAGGAAATAATTTTCACTTTCATCTCCAAACTGCCAAATTTTTAATTCAAGGAAAGACATTTCCTTCTTTTCTAATTTTAGAGTTCTGTGAGTTTGTGGTTTTACCCTCATATTGCCTTTGTTATATTTGATTGGCCTGAATTTTCATTTCCAAAAATAACCTAAGCCACGTAAATCTAGTCATTTTGGACTGAAATCTTAAGACCTTTCCTCTAGGCAGCAGGGAGAGTATGGAAGTTTCAAACAGCAAGAAGATAACATCACATGCCAATTATTCTTCAATAAAAAATAAAATAAAATAACAACATAAAACAGCAGGAAAACAAATTGGCCAGTGAGTAGGGATGTTTCTTTTTGGACGCTGAGATGTCTTCATTCCAGGTATAGACAGTCCTGTTGGAAACCAGGGTGAGGTCCACTTAACAAGCTGTTTTGGGTATTCTTCAGAGAAGCCAAGTAGGATGGAGGAGATTCCAATGAATGAAATGGCTGCTTTTTATTAAAACACCCTGGCCATTTGGGTGGGTGGGTGGGTGGGGGGTCAGGACCGAAAGAGATCAAGTGTTTTAGTAAATCAGCAGAAGAGCTAGGCAGTCTCTTTTTACTACCATCATACAACTTGCCATAAAATAAATCACTCATCTAAACCTAGTTTATCTGTCAGCATCCAAGTCTTTGTCAAGAGAGAACATGAAAAGAATTTCCAATTAAAAAAAAAAAGAATAAAGTTTGGGGTAAGGAAGGAAAGTAGGGAAGATATTCAAGGCAGAGGAGAATGAGCCATGTCCGTCTTTTTTCGGGATGGGGATGGCAGGCACCATGTGGCCTGATGGACACACGTGCAAGGGAACAATCAGAGAATCAAGAGCTGATTCCAGGTGGGGTGCATCTGGGGAGCCCCCAGGAGGTGGGCCCAGTTGTCTCCTGAGCCCTAGCAAGACAGTCCCACGGGGTCATGAGCGGGAAGGTGGATATGAGGTCAATATGAAGGATGTATAGATGTTCAGGGTGTCCCATTACATGTAACACCACCATAACCACATGCTCCTGGCTTCCATCAGGCAAGACAAGGACCAACCGTGAGCGTGGTTCAGAAGGAAATCCCAATTCCTACACTCAGTGGGACCCTGCAGCATGGCTTCCATGAAACCAGTCAAGTGGCATGCTGAGCCAGGTGGCCCAGCAGTGGCAGTTAGGAGCAGAGGATGAAGGCTGGGGTAGAAAAGCAGTGAAGTAAGGGAGGGCGGGGGGTGGGGGGAGGAAAGATGTAGGGAAGACGGCTAGCTGGGGAGGAAAGAATGAAGTCCGCACCTGTACGCAAACCCCAAACACCTCTGGACTCAGGCTCTTCTCCTTCCACACCCGAGCCCTTAATTTCCTGCTGCACTAAAATAAAATTGCCGTATCAGTGATGGCATTATTGAGGGATGTTTTTTGGGCTTCTTTCCAGGGAAATCCTCCTTTTGTAGGCCCAGGAGATGAACTGAGAAACTGCCCCTTTGACTGGTTTTTTAATAACATCCAGTCATGTTATTCTGTGCCTTGAATTCATTCACCCAAACCTTCAAAGTCCTATGAAGAACACATCGCCACTAACAGGTTTCCTCAAGAAAATAATTCAATGCTGTACCCATTTCCTGAGTTAGAGACCTTTCCAGTCCCTAAAGGGGCAGATAAGAAAGGGGACCCACACCAGCAGCCCAGAAGCTCCCCTTTCCTCTCCCCTATGGGTGAGGGCATTCGTGTGTGGCGTCTACAGGTGCTTCTCTCTTGAATTTGATTCAGCGAATTTTAATTGCTTTATCAACAAAAATATTTTGGGTCATTTAAAAGATTCACCTCTGAGCTATTCTTAATAAATAAATGTAATTGTTGCACTTTAGCTTGGTCATTAAATAAACTGTGCAAAATTCTACTCTCGATTAATCCACTCTACTCCATCTTGTGTTGCGGACCTCCAGAAGAGGCCACAGACTCTAGACAGAAGCCCCCCGAGGCTGACAGGAAACTGCCCCCTCCCCGGATGCCCAGCCAGTGGTAATGCCTCCAACTGGGTCCTCCTGGCTGTTCCAGAGCCAATCCCTCATGCACGTGAAAGATCTCATAAGAATTTCTGGTCTCAGTGAAGGTAGCAAAGAGAAATGGAGCAACATCACCCTAATGGTCAGGACTTGCCCCCACTAGATCCAGTCTACAACCTGTCCACCCAAGATGATGACAAGGACCCTCGGACAGCACGTGTGCCTACGGCTGCCTCGCTCACCCCATCAGCTTATTCCTCCAGCAAAGTTCAGTTCGTTAGGACAGAGGCAGAAGCAGATAGGCATCCACAGACCAGAGCGCTGGGCCCAGTCCCTCCAGGTACTAGGAAGGTAGCCATGGGCGTGTTACCAGCACCCGTACTTACTTCTGAGAGTATTTTCCCCTTCCGGACCCACACAGTTGCATGGACACCTCTGCTCCACCTTTTCTTTGAAACAATCAGTGGGATACACAGACTATCCACACATCTACCTAATTAACATTTTGTTGGGCTTGAAATCTAACTGCTTTTAAATGAAATAAGAAAGAAAATGGCTAAGACCTGCAAAGGATGCTGAAGGGTTACACTGCGAGCCCCTCACCACCAGGGAAACTTCACGGCAGTCACACAGTGCAAAGCGCTCACCTATACAGACTCTTTTTTTTTTGTCCCTGCTCAGGTATAAAGGATACATTTAGTTAAGAGGAAAAGAAAAAAAAAAAAAACACACAAAAAAAAAAAACAAACAAAAAACAAAAACAGGGCAAGTGTTAGCACTTCGCTTTGCTTTTATACCATTTTATGAACCCTGAAAACAAACACTCTTTAAAAAGAAATTTGGTTTTAATAAGATTTAATAAAACTGGTTTCCAAATGTGGCCAATAAGACATCGGTACAGAATACGATGCACCTTAACATAGGTGTCGCCTGCATTTATACTTAGGGTTCAGGACACATAAATAGGTCCCAAACCAGAGATCCAGTGAAAATGAAAGAATGTAAAGATGGGGGGTGGGGGTGGGGGAGGAGCAGTCCTCTCCAAATTACACTCTTTAAATTATACTGAAATTAAAAAAAAAAAATTAAGAATAGAAATAAATTATACTGAAATCATTATGGGAATTAAAAAATTCAGAGTATGTGTTGGAATCCCGGGCTATATATATATCCCTCATGTGTATATATAGTGTGTGTATATATAGTGTGTGTGTATATACATATATAATGTGTGTATATATAATGAATATATAACGTGTATATATGGATGCATAATGTGTATATGTAGTGTGTATATAGAATGCACGTGTGTGTGTATATACACATCTGTTATGTGCTTCTATATACCAACAACATAAACAAGAGAACATCTTCATCTTGTACTTCGCATAGAAGATTCCGGTTCCGATGCTCTGGGGCTGTGTCTGTGCACTGAGTGGACGCATGGACGGGCCAATAAACTGCCTGCACTTTATTTCTGCCCAGGAGAAGAATCCGTGTGAACCATTATAAAAAAAATGGGTGTGGGATTCACGGATACGGAAAACGCTCGGCTGGTCGGTTAAAAAAAAAAAAAACAAACCCTCCAACATTAAATAAATAAATGAAACGGGTGATATGTCTAAGCAGAACTGATGCCACCTATTTATTGCTCGAAGCCAGCACTCTGGTGTGTAGGAGACAAAATGATTATTTAAAAGCTCCTTTTTATCTCTGTGGCACCATGCAAGACTCAAATGAACCTTTCGCCAGGACACCAGAGATGTTAACACTCATCCTCCAAGATCCAATTTCAACCAGCGGAGCTGTTACCTAATCCAGCAACCATCACATATGATCAGGTTTCTGCTTCCCTGACGGGCGCCCTGCGCTCTCTGCTCCCCCCCTCCTCCCCGTGTTCCCCAGTCCAGCAGCCTTCACCGAACCAGCTTTTAAAGGGCCAAGGCCCCCCGCTTATGCCCGCGCATACGGGGCTCTAGCAGTCAGGAGTCAGGCGTGCACCTGTCCACTACCTGAAAACGTAATCATCATCTGCACTGGCCTCGCCAGCCGGGGGGGACGGGGGGTGTCACCCAACCGGGGAGGTAACCCTTTGGGTAGGGACTGTCAAAGAAGGAGGCCACCCCTCCCGAATCTAACCCCTCGTGCTCGAGGCCAGTCAAGGCAGGTGTGTGATTTGTGTAGAAACTGTCAGGAGCCCTCGGACAAGCATCTGATGTCACACCTACGGCGCTGCCTCGGGTGGCCCGGGAAGGGGGGGGCATCCTTTGGTAAAACTCCCAAGACAGGTGTACAGACTGTCACAGCCGCGCCGAGCTGCTCTCCCAACTGGCCTGCCGCTGTCCTTTCTTCCTTTATTTTTTCTTCGGAGAAGGACAAAAACAAACCAAACCCAAAGGCATGTTCAAGATCCTGGGCAGGAGGGCCGGAGCTGGTTGTTTTGTCCTTCCCCGAAGGCCGGGAGCGCGGGCAGCGCGGCCGAGGCCCACTAGAGGGCACCCTGTCTTCACCG